ACTAAAAGTTATAATTCTATTATTTCTATTTAAAGACAGTCTAGTAAAATTTTTCTATATTTTATTAAAAAATATGTACTTTGTTCTAATAATATATAAAGTAATATAATTAATAATTTAATTATCTTTATGTCAACGGCTTTAAATTATAACATTTTAAAAATTAATAAATTCTTTGGAAAATCAAACTTTTATAACTGCGGAAAAATAAACGAATTATCTCTACATCTAAATTTTGCCTTAATAAAATTTAAGTTTGAAGATTTTCGTGTTAAAAGTTACATCTTTTAATGAAAGAGAAGTGATGTTCAAATAAATTTTTATTCAATTCCGAAAGTCAAATAGTCGAGCAAACGGAAGAAAGTGCAAATGTCTTATTTTAATCTTGTATATTCATCGACACCGTACTTTCGAACACGAAGATCTAAAAACAATTGAAAAAGCGCTCAAAGGGTTAATTACGACGAACAGCGGTTCGAGAAGCGATATCGAGAAGTGAACATCAAGATAGACGGTCAATATAGACGGTCTGTGAAAAGTAGCTCGAGAAACGCACACTTGATCTTTTATTCATGTCACCATCGACCAGAGCCTCGTTCTCGTGGTTCGTCCTGTCTTCCCGCGTCCAACCCGCATCCGGCTGTTATACCGTTCGGGACGGACGTGTCATTTTGCGCGATAACACTCGCGCGTTGTGACATGTGAAGGGCTGATGCCCCGCAGCCACCCTCGATGCTCCGTCACGTATACGATGAGAGTGCACTCTTCACAGGATATACACGTCTTTCACAAATACGGAAGAATTGCTCGTAAATTCTCGTATCGACGGGAAAGAGAAAGCTATTCAAAATTTAATGAGCGAATAAAACACATTATCCATTATTTTAGTATAAAATAACGATATATTGAGTAAGAGCAGTGATAACTCAAATTAAGTTGAATTTGACACTATAGATTTAACAGTGCACTTGTTATTAAAACATTATACTGCATATATTTGCTAATGAAAAAATCAACCTCACATTTTGAAAGAAACAACGCCATATTCGATTTAGATTTTTAAGCAAATACAATTCTGGAACAATTTTAAAATATCAATAAAAATACTTGTACAAACAAGATTATTATACGAAGCGTGATAGTTGCAAGTTCGGACAGACCATGAGTATGTGATACCGATAAACAATATGTATGGAAGAAGAGAAGATAACGAGCTATTCATTGGCCATTACGTTCGTGATCCAAAGCCGAGATATATCGAGAATTAATTCTACGGCCTATTCGTCTCTGTGCGTTTTTGTTCGAACGTGTTTGGAACACGCATTTATTGTTATTTTTTTCCGTCGGCGCGTGTAATGCATACGCTATGCGAAAAGTATTTTCAGTTGCTGATTTGCGTTACAAAGGCAAGTTTTTAATCACGCACACGCGAGTAAGCGACACGTAAAAAAAAGAATGTATGAATTTCGTTCTATAACAGTGGCAAAATAACAATTCTTGAATTCAGATACGGAAATAATTTGTAACATAATAGTTTTTAACATCAAATACGAAATAAACAATGAGTAATTTTTTATAATACAGCGGCAATGGTATCCGGACATATCCTGCTCCATTCGGATATGCGAGTATTTTGACACGTTCTTCTGCGAAAATAAATCTTTGTTAAGAATTGCCTTAAATTTCCGTCGAAATAAGAATCATCAAATGAAAAAATTATAAATATTTCATATTCACACATCAACGTAACAATTATTCTTGACAGTCCTTCATTTTAACTCAATTCCCAGTGAATATTCAGTCAAATTTTATTCACGTTAAAGAGAGATAATAATGCAATTAAAAGCACCGCGTTCGTATTTCAAAAAGATATCAGAAGCGCAGTCGTCGACAATTAATGACAGAGCGCAATGGAAGGGAAAAAGGGGCGATAGAAAGTATGAAGGAGGAACGAGGCGATGAATTACAACGTGTTCGACACGCATACCGAAAGGGGTTTTTAATGAAAGATCGTAATGAAAGGGTCTCGAGCGTGCGAGCGAGGATTTTCCAAAACTTCGTAATCTCGCTTCCACGCGCAGCTTTTTCCACACCGACGACAATGGGCGCGCGAATGCGTCACTGCCACTCGTTATTCGCGAATTATTTATTCTACGCCCGTCAATATTGAATTTGCCCCTATTATTGAAACATCCCGCCGGTAATTCGCTTCAATGCGCGTGCCACTCGTAATCGCCGAATCCGCTTAATTTCATCAGAATTGGCAAATCGAAATACGGCCGGAAACTTCGCATCTCCGAAAAACGGCGTTAGTAATTCTTCCCGCGATTTGTAAATGTCTACTTTCTGTAGATATATTTGAAATTCTTTAATATTCAGTCAAAACTGTAATGTTATTTTATTTTGCAAAAGTTAAATCTAATAATACAAGGTTTAAAAATAAATCGTATAAAGAATAATATAAAAATCTTCAGTTCCGATGTAATAATATAAAGAATAATAAAATTATAAATAACATAATAGAAAAAATACAATTTGCCTTCGTTCTACATAAATGTTGATTACAACAACTAAACTGTAATTTATTTGACGTTATAGCAGCTTTTAATGGATACATGCAAAATTTTGCAGGCATTCAAAAGTAAAATAATACATAATATTCACAATATTGTTATTTCGAAGTGTATGCTCATAAATGACTATAAATATTGATTATCTTTGAGAATGACTACAAAAATGCACTATTTAGCAATTATTGAAGAAATTATAGCCTATATGGTCATCTTTTCCATATGGCTATCATACACATATTTACCTTATATTAATATATTAAACAAATTTTATAAAAAAAATTATCTATAATTATTGCATCAACAAATAAAAAACACACAGGCACATTTTTTAATATTTGTGAATGGTAATTTTATAATAAATGATAATAATTCATTTACATTAAACTATATAAATGTAATTTACATTCTCCATTTTATTATCGCTAAACGTAATTAATAATATCTAATTGTAAGACAAATAATAGAGATTCATTCATCCATAATATATTTGTATTCAAATTTGTATCAAAATATAGGTATTACAAATTTATACTCATTAAGTTTAACAACTATATTTTTTTATTATATGTATTCTTTTATTTATAAGAAAACAAGAACGTTTTATTATGTTAATATAACAACCAGCTTCGATTAACGTCAATAACATATCTCGAACTCGGTCGCTGTCATCTAATAAACAGCGCGGCGTACATGATAATCTAATGTATGACGTCGCCAAATATCTTCAAAGTTGTACGCCCGCCAATTCCCCATCCCTCAATATCAGCCAAAAGTTGGGCCATTACTTCTAGAATTTGTGCCACAAAATACAAACATTAAACGCAAAGTCGCTCATCATCGTGCAACGTCAGTCGCATGACAATGGATATGCATCTTCTGCACTGATATAAGATGCGCAAAAGTTGGCGAAGGTGAGGAGATTGCGCTACGAGGGAGGCAAGGGACTGGCGTAAAAAATTGAGCATTTCGTACCAGACCCACAATCTTCCCATAAAAATTTCATTCTCTTTGCATGAAAAAGGAAACGGTGTTGTTGAATTCAATTTTTAAAATAATTCACAGCTTCCTCCTAGCGACAATGGGTGCGAGATAACCGTAACGTAAAGAAGAACTCAAAAGTATTCTCTTACATAAGGTACAACATATAATGCGATATTTTATTGTACGGCACGAATAGTACCTAACGATTCAGAGATTGAATAAAATATCTGCGATAAATATAAATTCGCAACGGAGGGACTTTCTCGCTGACGCATAAGAATATCTTGAGATTCTGCGGAAGATCTATTTCTATCTTGGTGACATTTTCCATAAATAACCGTCGATGTCTATCTTTGAAGTCAACAGAGCGAGACTCACGCAATATATTTCTAGCAAAGCATCGCGCCGGATATTTCAGAAGATCTGTCAAGCAGATACTTCTGTTCCTATTGCTTGCGGGAGCATCGCGGGGTTGAAAATTTAATCGAGTGCCAGCAAAGTAATACATACGGATCTAGGTCGTTTCGGCAAAGGCGGTCGTACTTTACCGGCATTGCGAATAAATAATGCAAAAAGATTGCGGGCGTCTCTAGAATTTTACTTTGTTTTATTTATTTTATTTTGAATGTAATTCGCAGCTCTATGTCCCTTGTTTAATAACTAAAAGACGGAATAATATGACTGAAATTCGTAAGGAATGCGAGATGCTGTGTTTTATGAATATGATAATCGACTGACCCGGTAAAATCTGGGGTGGTTTGTAAAACTGCGCATATAATATAGCGTATTAGAATAAGTAATAATGCATGTACGCATAAAGAAAAGAACATCATAAATGTTCATTATATATTTCCTGCACGTATTCATATGTTATTTGATATTCATCTGTATAATCTGCACTGTAAAAATTACATGTAAAATATTATAACAATTATAATGAGTAATTTTGGAACCCATTATCAAGCGTATATTTATATATACGTAAAATAAAGGCACAACTTACAAATAAAATTATTCTTTATAGTATAATAATTAGACATTTGCTAAAGTAAAAGCTTACTTAATCCTCTGGAACTGATTGTAGATCTATTAAACTTTCGCTCAATTATAAATTTCTTTGTCGAAAATGTTAAAAATTTGTTAAACAATTGATTCAATTTTCTTTATTTCACAGCTACACAAATTTGCATTATTCTTATTAAAATATATTTAATATTCATTCTTTTTTACAGATACGACTTATATCATTTTTGCTCCTTAATTAATGCTTTTTAATTAACATAAATTAAAGGAGCCTCGGACTCAGCGTCAGTAATTGTGTTGCAGATTTTTTAGCTCCGGAGGATTAATGTATCTTTTATGCACTTGATATAATTTAACTCGAAATGTTTAATAAAACAAATGGTAACAACGAATTGATAAATAAAATTCATATTTTAGGTAACGTGGATCAGGAGAAAAGACAGACAACTGCTTACAGTGGGTAGGAGTACACATTCTATAGACATGCGTTTCGTTGTCTCAAACGGTCCTGGCTGGAATCTATTGATTAAAAACGTCAATCACGAAGATGCGGGTCTTTACGAGTGTCAGGTAATGCGTAATGTTCACGAAAAAATGTGCTAACCCGAAAAGATTTCCTTATAAAACCTGTAAATGTATCTTGTTATCACTTATTTTGAAAGAAAACTCCAGAAAGTTTAAACAACGGTTAACCTCGTTCTACGATAAATTCTACGATAAAATTAAGACGGTCATAATGGTTATTAAAAGTTTCTAATATTAATTAGATACTATCACATTAATATTAGAAACTTTTAATTATAACCATCTTAATTTTACCATGGAATACGAGATTAACCGTTACCTAAACTTTCTGTACTTTTCTCTTAAAATAATTGACAACAAGATATATTTAGACTAAATTAATTGATTCTTTGTAACATCTTAAAAAAGTAATTATCTTCCTATATATGAAGATTCTAAGTTTAGAAAAAAAAGTTAGAAAAAAATAAAAAATTAAAGAATATCTGTTCACAATTAATATTAAACACAATCATCAAAATAAAAATTTATGTTATAATTTCATACTGATTGTTAAATGTAAATAAAATTTTAAGTACACCATAAGCATATAATAGCTTTTTCCTACAGAGGTCCTAAGATTCTGAAATAAAAAATCAGGCGAGTTATTTCGATATAAACATTGCTATCGACTGTTTCTTAACAAACACAGTTTTTCTTTTCTCTTTACAATAGAGTTTTTCAGCCATAAAAAAATAACAAGCGAGACAATCACTAGGTTCACGTTGCGTCGATCTTTCCTAGACCGCGCGTACCAAATGGTTGGTGTTTACCAGCTCAATCAGTAGTGAAAACCGATCGCGGTCAGACAGTGGTAATATATCTGATGTATCAAACCGTTCTATTAAATAATAACAGAGTTTCCTTTGTACCTGTTGAGCATGTCTCTTAGCGATCTGTATAACTCAGTTATATTCTAATATAATTATCTGAAATATCGTTGGAAATATTCATTCTCTTTGTGCTGTTTTAATCTTTCTCGTGCCTTCTACACCGTTAAATCTATAATGTCAAATTTAACTCAACGTGAGTCGCCACTGCTCCTACTAGATATATCATTATTTTTTACTAATACGATAATTAAATTTGACACTATATCGTGTCAATTTGATACTATATAGTGTCAAATTGACACTGTATAGTGTCAAATATAACCATTGTTTTAGTATAAAATGACGATATGATTGAGTAGAAGCAATAGTGGCGACTCACACTAAGTTAAATTTGACACTATAGATTTAACAGTGTACCATGAGATAGGGGACATCGCGACATATATCGTTCATTAACTTCAAAAGTAACTACTCGAAAAACGCAATTTTTTTTAATCATTATCATAAATGAGTTATATAAACATTATCCTGACAAGCATAAAAAATAAACTTAACTTCATAAAAAAAATCGCCACAACTGAAGAAAGGTGGTTTTTTTGAGGATTGTGAAATGAAAATAACATTTGCTCATGTTAAAAATATATTCTTTTTATCGATATTGTTTGACTAGTTAATAATTTTCTGTCAAGTTGAAAAATAGTCTTTCCGTTTTTCTGAGAAACTTAATTTTTTTTAGTTGTAAATCACTTTTAAAGTAAGAAATTTATATAATACTTGAAGAACAATATGTATTTTATAAATCATAGATCTTTTGTTTCGCGATGTTCTAATAAAATAGATTCAGACGGAACCAATGCAGCAGCGATTCATACGATTGAACATCACGGAGGCGTACTCGGTGATACCGGGTGGACCGGATCTCCACGTAAAGCAGGGTTCCAGCCTGCGTTTGGAGTGCCAGTTAATGGCAGCCGCAGAATCGCCCAGCTACGTGTTCTGGTATCGCGAAGCGCGCATGATAAACTACGACAATGAGCCCGGCGTTCGATTCGAGCTTAAGAGAAACGGCTCCGTATTCGTCGTGGAGAAGGTGAAGCTCTCGCATGGTGGGAATTACACATGTTTGCCGAGCAATGCTAGGCCGGCTCACATCGTGCTACATGTCATCGAAGGTGAGCAATTGTTCGACAGGCATCTCGTGACTCATTAATCCCTCTATTCCTGGATATTTAACCTTCCGAAGTTAAAATGGGTCTATTGAACTGGTTCAATTACCTCTCCGAAACTACAGTGGAACACACACACTATCTAATTTATTCAATTATATATTCTTTACATTATATCTGCAAATTTAAATTATTATTATTAAAATAAACTTAATATTCATATTCTTTTTATAGAGGTTTTGTTTTTGAATATAGTGATTTGCGACACTTTAATTACAAATTTATTTATATTATAAATAAGTCTGTAATTAAAAGGTGTGTCACAAATTACCATATTCAAAAATAAAATCTTTCTTCAAATTGATTGTGTAACTGAATTATAATATTGTATTAATCGAAGATTATTACAATTAATTTTCATACTCTGAGCATATTTTAGAATGAAAACATTGAAGATGACCTATAATGAAAGTTGAAACGCTTGTGGTTTTGTACGATTAATAATTATTATATAAACATTAATTAATTTAGATCCTGTTCAGCTTTTATGCTCTTATTTATCATTTTTCATTTTAAATTTACTTGTTATTTATTATTTAATAAATTTTGCTTGTTTTTAGTTTAATATACTTTTCTCGTTTAATGTACTGCAGTTTAGAAACCTGTAATTTGCTCAACGTTCATACAACATACTCTCAACAGAGAACAATTGGTAGAAAATTCAAACATCAACTGCCAAAGTTTGACCAAATATTTCAAGCATTCTGTACATCCAATTGCATTTCTCTCGCTCGCGTTTGATCCTTTCAAAGAATTTCATCTATTTTCGCAGAAGAAGAGAAATCGGCGGCCATGCATGGAGGCAATCGGCGAAATTCCACGGCTTCTACGTCAACCAACACCATACTGACTCTCATGGCTCTCCTGATTATCGAAAATGTAAGACGATATTTCCAGATTCTCATCTGCCATGCCACGTGACTATTGTAAACCGACATTTTTGCAAAGTCAAAGCTCGTTGGAAGAAGTTGAAACACTTTGAATTTTTTTCTTTTCTAGACTCGATTCTAGACATCTTATCGAAACCATGTATCGAAAAATCACGTTACCTTTAGTTCATCTCAGATCTCGCGAGCTGAAATTCTCTGACGATGAAATCCAAACGTTCGTGAAAGAAGATGTGACAGATTCCGCGTGGGATCAAAGAAAAACCTATTTGCGAGTAAACTTAAAGCGAGAGATTCAACTGCAGACAGTTTTCCGAGAATCTCTGTATCCCCAGTGGCGAAATCTAAGGAGAACTACAAAGTTTCACGTAATCATGTAACTTTCGTTTAAAGAAACGTCTTATCCAAGTGACACTACTTGATAGAAACTCTGCTTGAACTCGTAACGAGTGAATAATATTCGTGGAATGAGATTTGGCCATCTTTCGACGTGGACGAATTTGCTCGCGAACTTCAAGAACCAAGTTGCTACGTATCGTTGGTCATCATAAACTCTTGCGCATTGAAACAGAAGTTTTTTCCCCGCGAAATCTTATAGTTTCTGTTATATTAAGATGTCTTCAAAATTTTATTTTTTCTTTTTTTAGAGCAAAATTGTTTATCTTCTCTGCATTTCAAATACTAAAAAATCTATTCTAATAAGAAATTTGAATATAAAAAAACTAATTTTTTTAAATATTATTAATAAAAATAATGGTATAATTGAATTACAATATATTGAAGGAATTTTTGAACTCCAATAAAATTTAAAATCTATTCAAAGAGCTTCACATTTCATAGAGCATTATATTCGCAAATATATTATATCTTCGCGAACGAATTTAGCAATGAAATCTCGTCGGAAAGCAGGTAACATTTCATCATGGGAATCAGATATTATTTGCTCCTTATAAGTTTGGCAAGTTTCTAGCAATCAGTTTAATGCAAATGGAATATTGAGTTCTGTAAACAAAAGTTGTGTTTAGTAATGTTAGTTCTACGTTAGCTTTCACCAATGTTCATGATAATAAACTCTCGCAATTAGCATTGTACATATTACGTGACGAAACATAACAAAGTTATGTCATTTACGAACGCGTGTTTCGTTTCGGATTTATGGTTTTTAAAAAAAGATTTATCGATGACGCGAACCAAAATCACATTTAAGATTGTGTCTATAAATAAACTGCCAACCACAGCTCAAATCAATTAGAGATAGAAGAAATCTTTTTACCCATACGACTCACACGAACACTCTCAAAGTTGACTTTATGCCGATGCTTGTATTTGCTGTAAGGTATATTAGAAAGTATGTAAGTAAGCACTTCAAGCCATTCCATTTCTTATGTGTGTGTGCAATGTACGTGGGTGGTATTCTCATGAACATAAGAATAAAAAAGTCCCGGTTTGACTTGAACCACCTTCGTATAATATTATCGTTATACAAATTAAATACGTAAATATACTCCTTAATCAGTATTTCAAGAAAACATTATTACAAAAATAAGAGTTAAAAACAAATCTTTAAAAATGTTTGTTTATATTACATAATTTTATATGACGTACAATGTCTTACGTTAAAAACTTATTAAATGGTTGTCTGATTACACAATAATTGATCGTATGTGTGTACATGAAATATAATTAAATTTTAATAATACCATAAATGTATTTCGTATCGATATCGATAAGTATAATATATATGCATCGTGATGTACTTAAGTAGAAAATTATTTTTTATGACTGTTAATTTTGTATATATTAACTAACAGAAAAAATTCATTATACAAATTAATAAAAATGTTTTAGATAGTGAATCCTCATATAACAAAAGATTAATATCAGAGATGATTCACATTAAAAGACAAAAACAAGATCTTAACAAACAAAATGATACAGAATCGCTATCTGAATCTTATTCGCAAATTATACAATCTCTTTCTCCTTCATAAATATTTTCCTCTATCTCTCCTTTTCGTACTCCCTTTCCTCTATTGTTTCTTCGTCTATCGAATGTTTTTTTCCCCTTCCTATGCTCTCCTTTCTTCTTATTTATTACTTTCCTGTTGTCTATAATGTCTAAGTACACGAACAAGCAAAGACAAGATTTTTAACTCTTCTCGCACTGCAGGCCTAATTATGATCGGCATGAAGGTACTCACAATTTTTATTACTTCCACTAATGCACTCCGCATATACTATAACTTATATCATACTTATGTTTTATATTACTGACTTTATCTATGTTTACATTTTATATTAACGATTATCAATTTTATTACTGACTCTTATATTAATGACTTACCGATTATCAGTTTTTTGTACGACTATAATTCTCATATTTATTATATTTTATACATTTTTTATAATTCTGTATGATTGCGTATTGATTTTGTATTACGATTATTTGTATGACCTATGTTTGACAGAAGTCATGCATTATGAACGGATAGACACATCACCGAATTTCGTTATCAACATGTTTGCGGAAATACTGCGAGATGAGAGGGAAGTTTCTAATTATAATTTTTAATATTATTTTTTAACAATAATTTTCCTTTGTATTCAACTCTAACATTGAGAAGGATCCAATGCGGATCGAAACGTTTGTTATCATTGCCGGCATTTAGATTAAAGTTATTGTATGTTTATCTTTATTTTTATTTAAATCTGATCACACGTATTAACCTTGGTTCGTAGCCCTATTACCTATTGATTTTTAATAAAAATGTATATGTCTAATGAAACATGTGTCTCATAGAAAATTAAAACCTTTAGAATTATTACTTTTAAGATCTACGATCTTATTTGTGTGACAGCAAAATATAATGTAAATAAGATATAATTGTAATAAATGTAAATAAGATATAATTATTGAAGATTCAAAAAATAATAAAGTTAATATCAAATATCGAATATAAACATAAAAGACATTTAACAAATTAATGAACTCAAAATCAATTTTAAAAGAACATGTGTATTTTAATAATTTTATGAAAGTTTATTTCTTGAACATTTTTAATTGTTTTTTATTTTAACAAAAAATATTATATTATATTACAAAAATTGTATAATATTTAATTACATAGTTTTAAGTTAAGATTAAATGTTTAATTTATTAAAAAAGTTAACAATAATTAATGAAATCTGATAATGGATTTATCGATCTTTTGAGAGAGGTAAGTAAACATAATTAATAAATCCGTATAACAAATCAAACCCACAAAGATAATTAATAAACATATCAATTAATATTGATTGTTTAACAAATGTACAATTTGTGTTTATAGGACTATGTTTTGTTTAAAGCTCCACCATGCACAACGATTGAACAGTAATTTGCGAAAGAATCGTAATCGCTCAAACAATCGCTCCAACATTCAAACAAAGTAATCCAACTTAAAACGCTTTGAAAAGTTCCGTGTAAAATTTATCGGTAAATTCTGACAAACGTGTTTATAAGTGAAAATAAGTTGGAAACCCGTGATTAAACAGAAAATTCTAAGCATCTTGCTCATTTGTCAAATCGTAGCTACTTGTAAATTCGAATTACAATGAAATATTTTAAGCAAAGAAAGACGTTGTCTTAAGAAATAATTTTTCATCATTCGAGTAACGAAAAACAATTACGCAAAAAATGAAAAACTTTCTCTAAGAGTTATTTATTATTTTCTAAAAGCTATTAATTTAGAAAATATTATTTATAACTATATCCAACAATTGCGGTTAAAATACGTTTAATAAAAGAATCGTATAATAAACGTATAAATTAAAAAATAAACGTCATAAAAACATTATAAGATTTGTAACGTCTATTTAACTTTTTTATACAGCATAAAAAATGTTTCGGCAAAACGTTTTTCATACGTAAATTATCTGCTTTATAGGTAACTATATTTGATTGCTATTAGTTGCTGAATATACTACAATTTATCGTATCGTGATATATTTCAACCGTGTTGTATTAGCAATAGAATTTCATATTTAGAACAACAACCATTTTAATTAAACGTCAACTTACAATAATTATAATATGCAATAATTACATGGCAGAGAACTCGTTTATAGGTACAGATTTGCCGGCGTTCGATTCGTGCGCCGGGTTTCCGGTTAATTTCGCAAATTAAGGGTACATCACGCGTCGATGCAGCGTTAGTGCAATTACGGTCACACGATAATTACAGTTACATTTTCGGATTTAAGCTGCTTCCGCGGTTTCATTAACGCGAGAAGCGCTAAGTACGTCGCAAACCGTCACGACTGTTTTAATATCGCGATATAATGTCACTGTTATCTCGGAGTTTGCTTGGCGGAGGTTGCAAGACGGGCCATCGCGTGTCAAGCGATACAAACCGGAGACGTCTCATCCTCACCAAGCGGGGAATGTAATAACTCTCTTCGCCTCCAGTGCCCTCGATGTATTACGAAGATATGCGCGGAATTGAACGCGCTCTATTATAACACAAAGCGTTTGATAATTATCGATCAACGCGTGAGATGTGATTCCCATGCTACGCTAATAGGTATCTAATATCTAATATCTAATATATCTGAGAAATGCGATACAATAGAGACTATGTATTCAGTGATTGAACACAGAATTATAAAGGGATTCGATCCAATAAATCTTTTCGATCCATTCACGATATTACATAGCAAATAATTAACGATCTCGTTATTTGCATGCATGATGTACATATGCATGGAAAGAACGATTTTGCATCTGAAAATTTAACTAGACACACAGATCTGAAAATAATTTTGTTGGACCACCAAAATAATTACGTAGGAATTTCAAGCACAATGAAAAACGCTATAAAAAATTTTGGACATTGTAGCAACCAGCTTGAATATCCTTACATAATTATTTTAGTGGTTAATTAGATGGTCCAACAAAATTATCTTTAGATTTGTATCTATTTTAATTTTTATAGATACTCCAACAAAATCTTTCCGGTATCAAAGAACAACGCTAATGCGTCTTCTCGTTTATTTTTCGCATGATTAATCCTCGTGAAGAAAGAGTTTGATTATTTTCGTGATACAGAAAGAAATCATTGTCGCGAAAAATATTAATCGTCGACTTATAGCGAATTCGGTTAGATGCACTAGTGCATATTAAAGCCATGTTTTATATTGATCTAATCTGAATGTAAAAGTATTTCGAATGATAAGATGCCCAATACGTATTTTATAATAAAATATATTGACAATTTCGCGCGGTTTATATTTCTATATTTATATTAAACACACAGATCTTTATATCGATTTGTGATCAATGGCTTTAATATGCACTGAGTACGCACTAGGGTGTCCAATCACTATCCGATAAGTCTTGCGTTTGAGAATTTTCAAAAAATAAAATTCTCTCGTTTAAACAATTTATCCTTGGAGCAAACAATTCGCGAACAGTTTACCTTTCGAATCCCATTGATAGTAATTTTCTCTTGTACGATACAACTATTTTCTTATTTAAATTAACGACTTTAATTGTGGTATAGCGTTTGATCACAGAAATAAAAAAAGATTAAAATATAAAAAG